TTCCCTTGAAATTATTTACTTAGTCCAAGCTGGCAGAATGCTACAAGCCTTTTTCTGCAGCCATTTTATCTTACTTGCTCTTGCAACAAGTCCAAAATCTTCAGAGCAGTTTCTGTACCCATGACAAGCTGTTGTAAATTTTAGTTTTAGATTATATATGTGTATTTAGATTCTCTACATGCATATAGTTTATATGGACTATTTCTGTAGGCAAGGTTATCTAGTCGTTGGTTTTTAATTCCCTGTGTCACTTTTCTTGGCTGAACTAAATTTAATGAAAAATGTATTGTACGTCCAGTATTAATTTATTACTTTCAAATTTCTTTATTCTTGAATCAGGTAATCAGATTTAATAGACTATATAAGCACCTTCAAACCCCCTTCCCATTCCACTCTTAGAACAATTTTATAGTGTTCCTGTGTGCAGTGCTTGTCTCCTGTTATTAATATTTCCATGGTATAGGCTTTTACTTAGTTCACATAAGTGTTAGATACTGTACCTAATTTATATAACATGAATATAAATAGCAGCATACCAGTATCTAAGACTAGGAGCTCCCTTGTTTATCTGGAATTGACTCCTGTTACTGCCACAGGATTATGTGACCTTGTTTAACCTAGAAAGGGCTCTTTTTCCTCCTCTGTTTCAATGATTTGGGAATGTCCAGGGATGATTACATCGTGATCTGGCTTGGTTTTTTTTTTCCCAAGTTGTGTGACTGACCGGACTTACTTCACCTCTTGTAATTGCAAAATAGTCTTGCATCTCCATGTTTAAGCTCATTGTTAATTTCTTTTATGTATGCTCAGGTCTTCTGGGACCTTTGAATAAATGATCTGCTTTTAAAAATGGAAGTAAATGAGCGTTTCTTGTGTAAGTCATGTTTACTTTACTGAGTTTTGACACCTGAAGTATTTTGATACTAGAAAATCCCAATGGGCATATGATTCCTTTTAAATATAAAAGGTGGTTAAATTTAGGCAAACTAGACTAAAAAAAAAAAATTACAAGAACCTGAGTAGAATAGCAACAGTGTATTTTTTTTTTTTTTTTTTTTTTTCAAG